GCAACCAACACACACAACGACAGCGCCCTCAGAGCTCCTCCGCCTGCGCCTCTTCTCGAAGAATGCGCAGTAGGCCTCGCGGACGCCGTGCGCCTCCCCGGCCCCTTCTTCCGCGTCCGAGAAGGCGTCCGCGTGGCCCTTCAGCCGAGGGCAGGTCGGCGTAGTCCATGCCTTCTCCAACCCTCTTGCATGGCCTCGTTGCGGCTCTCGCAGATGTTTGTGCAGGATCGAGCAGAGGCGACGATGACCAGCGGGAACGTTCTTCTCGGCCACGTCCAGGCGCTTGAGGAGGCAGCGCCAGGGCCTCTTGAGCCGCCTCAACAGGCGTAGCTGACGGCCATGCGGCCACTTGCCCAGCAAGAGGTTGAAGCGCGACGGCGGGCGCCTCCGGGCTCTGGGTACGGCTTCATCAGCCACGGCCAGCGGGGCAGGCAGACCAGCGAGGACGGGCCCACGCGGCCACACCCTCGATTCCGTGGCTGGTCTGGGGGCCAAAGGTGCCCTTCTCCATGCGCTCGAAGAGCGGGAGGCCCCCACGGCAGGCCCGAGTCCTGCAGGCGCCCGACCAGCCGGCGCGTAACGTCCATGCGAAGCGCCCTGCGCTGTCGACCAGGGCCTAGCAGCACATGGAGACCAGCCCCTTGCCGTTTGATTAGGCGAGGCAGCCATGGGCTTGTAGCCCTTTTCTTGTCCATTTTGTTCCAGGGGTCTGTACTGCTTTTCATGAAAGCAGATTTGACACCAGTGCCGTTGGGCCACCAGACTCCAATGGCAATCGTGACTATGGAATCTTTCAGATAAGCAGCCGCTGGTGGTGCGACAATGGACATCGCCCAACAGCCAACGTGTGTGAAACCTCCTGCAATGGTAAGCAACTTGATACTGCAAGGATTGCTAGCTCACACTTCTTTAATTCAGTTCACATTTGAAGGTGAATCTACCTAATTTGCACTTTCTGAAATAATACACGGACAAACACACTGCACATTCTTCAAAACTCACACTTCTAATCTTGCCATGCCCTTCTCAAGCCAACTGCATTGGGCACAGTATGCCTACAAATAGATATATTTACAAAAATTACATACAAAAGTACATTAGATTACAAAAAATTGCATACAAAGCTGTCATTCAGGAGAATTTCACACTAAAAAACTGCTGAATTTACATGAAGACTTTTAAAAGAAAGAAATCCCCAACCTCCCTCCTCCACCCCTAGGTGTCTCTGTCCAGCTCTCAGGACTGTCCTTAGTCAGTGGTCCCCAATGTTTTTGGTATGGTGACCGACAAATCCAAATTTGCAAGACATGGTGACTACAGATTTATTGTCAAATGAATTTTGGACCTTAGGACTTCCATAAATGCTGGTACCATTATCTTAATAAATTTTAAAATGTGTCTCCCACACTTCTCTCTTCCTGTGCCCCCATCTTTGTTGAATTTGTGATGAACTTTTAATGACAGACTTAATAATAAAAATTAAAACTACATAATGAAATTCAAAATGTTTCACATAGTATAGGTTCCATTTATTCATTTGAGTTAAAGCCATTGGAGTGAGCACAGGAAAAATTGTAGAAAGTACAGTCATTGCTGCTTTCCTCGCCGCCGCCCCCACTTCACGTTTACCATGGGAAGCCAGCTGTGCCCTGTTTGTCCTGACTGTGCCACTAAATATTGTTTTTACATGCAAACATACACACTGGTACTGCTGTTGTTGAATAACACCAGGGAGTACTCCTTGTACCAGGAAAATCTATACAAGGTAGCCAGACAATACTATTGCATACACACAGAGCACACACCTAATCATCATCATCATCATCATCATCATCATTTATTTATACCCCGCCCATCTGGCTGGGTTTCCTCAGCCACTTTGGGCAGCTTCCAACAAAAGAGTTAAAATACATCAAACCTTAAAAGCTTCCCTAAAGAGGGCTGCCTTCAGACGTCTTCTAAAAGCCTGGTAGTTGTTGTTCTCTTTGACATCTGGTGGGAAGGCGTTCCACAGGGCAAGTGCCACCACCGAGAAGGCCCTCTGCCTGGTTCCCTGTAGCTTTGCTTCTCACAGTGAGGGAACCGCCAGAAGGCCCTCGGAGCTGGATCTCAGTGTCCGGGCAGAACAATGGGGTGGAGCAGAGGCTTGACAACCATATGTCAGGAGTGCTCTGATGGTGTTTCCTGCTTGGCAGGGGGTTGGACTCGATGGCCCTTGTGGTCTCTTCCAACTCTAGGATTCTATGACGCTCCTTCAGGTATACTGGGCCTTTGAGGCCGTTTAGGGCTTTAAAGGTCAGCACCAACACTTTGAATTGTGCTTGGAAACGTACTGACACATACAGACCACAGACATACAGACAAGTTTTGTGTCTCTTGCTCCACCTTATACTACACAGATATACAATCACTCAGATATGCCTCTCTCTCTCTGCTCAGGCGCTTGTCTTCCTCTCTCTCATGCACCACACGTGCAAGCGTGCATCCCTCTGCCCTCACCAGCAGCGTAGTGTGGGTTGCCGCCCCCTCCCTGGTTGGGGCGGGGGCCAGGGGTGGCACGCAGAGCCCCCAGAGGGTGGACGGAGCCCGCCCCCAGCAGGCTCTTTGACTGCTGCCTCCATCCACCTGCCCACCAGACCAACCTGCCTGCTGCTGTGCCTCAGCTGCCAGGGCTCGGTGCCTGTCATGGGGATCTTCTTTTTCTTCTTCTTCTTCTTCTTCTTCTGCTTCTTCTTCCTTTTCTTCTGTGGCAATCACTCGTAGCTGAGTAAGATTGTCTACCATAAACATGGTTTTAACAGTGAATTGTAGAGGCCAATTCTGGATCCACACGTCCTTCCACAGGGGGGACATTGGTTTCTGGGCAGGAGTTGATCACGGTGAGGATTGGCCAAGCGTGCCTTCCTCTTAGCACGTTTCTCCCTTGTGTCCTGAGTTCGAGTGTCTTCAAAGCCCAGGACACCTTTGGTCAAGGCTGGTCTCCAGCTGCAGCGCTCACAGGCCAGTGTTTCCCGATTGTTGCCTCCTGCTGTGCCTCAGCTGCCAGGTCTCGGTGCCTGTCATGGGGATACCTGATTGCACACCCTCAAAAATGTGTGCTGGGGCGATGACCCCTCTGGCTCCTCCACGCTACACCTCAGCCCCTCTCACACACAGACACACACTGCCCTCTTCCCTTCTGACCACACATACGTGTAACCCCTTTTTCTCACTTGCACAAAACAACATGTAAATCTGTCCCTCCCTTCTTCCATCACACACACATCACAAATACATCTCTCCCACCTCCCTCACACAACTTGCACATCTCTCTCGCAGTCACACACACATTACTTGAGCGCTAATATCCCAATTCTAAAAAGCATCTTCATAGGGCTAAAGAAGCACCTGCCAGCAGTGTCACCTAGTGGGCAGCAACACCCCTTACCATCCGAGGAGACCTCTGCCTCCCCTTTACTTCTCCAACCCTTTTAAAAACAAAACATCCCAGCACAAGGCAAAGGAGGCACCTGCTTGTGGCTGATGGATAGCAGAATCCTGAATGTGCCGGGGCAGCCCTGCTGCTCCTCCCCATCGCACCCCTGCCATTTAGTCTTACTTATCATGGGACTAACAAGGCACTCACTGCTTGCTGGCAGGCAGCAGCAGCCGGAGCATGCAGGGATCACTGCACATCTCCTTCCTTCCTTTCATTTTATTTCAAGTAATCTGGAGGCAGGCAGCTGTGTGAAGAAAGGTCCTAGCACTCCTTACCAAAGTATTCCAACGGGGGGGGGGGGAGCACTGAAGAACTTGACCCACTTCAGCTGGTTTGGCTGCCCACTTGCAGGTCGGGACCCACAGGCTGGGAAACATGGCCCTAGGCCATGACCTTGATGTTTGATGCCTGCTTTCATCTAAGGCTACGGCTCTGGGAGAAGGCAGGCCCCCTTTGGGGTGTTGACGCTGTGTACCCCTTCATGGCAGGCCCAGGTTGTAGATATGTGTAAGTAAACCATATAATATTGGTCAGGCTGGCCCCCTCCAAGGATGCAGGTCTGGGGGTGGGGTGCAAAATTGTGCCTCTCCACTCGGGCAATACAGCTCCTTACCCAGGGTTCGAGGGACAAGGAGGGTGTTGATGCAGGGCAGAAGAGGAGGCAGCCATGGGCATAGCCATGGGGGGCAGGGAGGCAGAAAGAAAGACTGAACTAACTGACCAATCACGTCCAAAAAATGGAACTGCTGTGTCCTTGACCTCTGACATTTGACCTCTAACCCTCTAATTCAGGCTTGGAGTTGGATAGACCTCTAGGAAAAGGCATTCCACAGTTCAGAGGCAGCCTCTGCAACCTTGGGGGTGTTTGTATTCTGGGGTTTGCATTTTAGGAATCCCCAGTAACCTCCTTTGCTTTCTGACAAATCTTTGCCAGCATTCTTAAATGATGACATCACAGATGATATCAAGTGTGCCAAGAGGATTGTCCTTGACCACCAGGGGATGGGTGCCTGGTAAGTGCTAATATCTCAGGGCTTGTAACATTCAATACCTGTCAAGTTTTCTGTTCACATAACTGTGTAGAGGAAGGTGGTTTCACTTGACTGTTGTACAGCTGGCAGCTAAAGATCCTTCCCCAATAGGCACTGACAAGGGCTAAAGATGCTTCCTTAAATGTACAGCCAATAGTGCCCTCACTGCTCTGGGACCCTGCTGCCCTTCTCCACTTCCTCTGAGTAACTGGCAGCATCACACAGTGCTGGGAAGCCAGGAAAAGACCGCAGCCCCACCCGCATCACAAAGCCAGCCACCACTGTGTGCAGCAAACACTTGGTAGCTGTCTTGGTGGGGATTTAAGGACATGATTTGGCAACTGAGCCAATGTGGAGTAGTGGCAAGAGAGGACCTGGGAGACCAGAGATCAAATCCTGACTCAGCCAGGAAGTTCACAGGTTGACACTGAGTCAGTCACTGTCTCACAACCCAGCCTACAGTGTTTTTCTAAGGGGAAGAACCATGTATGCCACCTTGAGCTCCCTGGAGAAAAGGTGGGGTATAAATGCAGTAATAAATAAATAGGAATGCAGGAAAGGAGGAGACAGCCTGAGTTCTGTCATGGGCTGGAGCGAAGTCCTGGGGCAGATGGTTCACTTCCCAAGTTTGCTTGGAGGTCTTTCACAGAAGGCTATCAATGCTTAGCAGCCACAATGACTCTGCTCCACCTCCATTCTTAGGCACAATGTGCCTCTGAATGTGCTTTTCACTCACTGGATCATCACCTTGTCGTGGTGTGTGGGCTTGCACGTTCCTATGACCCTTGGGAGCGAGGCAGTCGGGAGTCTCGTACTCCCAGCAGGGTCCCCCAAGGCGGTAGGGTCAAAGGGGAGGAGCTAGACAAAGAATGATCCAAGAAGTCCTCAGTGGCAGGACCGTGAAACTGGAAGCCCCTAGTCATGAACCGGCACATGGGAGGTGGATACAGATTCAGACTCAAGGAATGAGGCAGTTGAGCAGCTCGACAGCTGTATCCATGACTGAGCAGTAAAGTTCCATGGGATGGGATGGGATGGGATGGGAAGCAAAATTTTGCTAGAAGGGCACCATGGGCTGTTAGTAGGTAGACTTCCCGTTGACCGCTTAAACTGATCATCAGCAGAGAATGACCCTGCAGCTGACACAAATGCCTCACTTGGAAATGTTGTGGAGCTTTTAAAGAAGATCCACCTCACTTGTAGTTAGTTATCCAAGCAACAGTCATGTAGCTTCCCTTGCTTCATTTTTTGCTCTTATTCTGACTTTTAGGGTTGCTTGGAAGGAACATTGCAAAGGAAAAGATCTCTCTGAGTGGACAAAAGATTGCAATCTCTGAGTTCCATGGTCCTGAATGAATTCCAGCATTTCTCTTGAGATCCCCTTTGATGAAACATCTACCTACTGCCATATAATCAAGATCCAGCTGCTTCTTTCTGGGCTAGCATTGGCATGTTGTGCCCCACCCCATGGTGGAGGGAAATGGCCCTCTTTCTAGATGAGGGAAAGTGATTATTATTTTTAAGTGTGTCTGGGGTGGTGAGTCATCTTGCTTTGGATTGAGAGCTTCTCTGCTTGAAAATCTTCAATAAACTGAACATAAACAAAACTCTTTTCTTGCTTGATTGGTAAATAGAAATAACAGAATTAGGTTAAGCATCATCGTCTCATCATAATTGGCAGGGAGGTGCAGAGGCGTATCTAGGTCCCTTGCACCCTGGCAAGGAGCTGTATGGGCACACACACACCAGAAAAATCACTTCTCGCACATGTGATCTTGCTGCGACAGCAGCAACGCACTGCCACACACATACACATCATAATCTCCCGCAGTCTACCTTCATGCTTCCTCTCTCCCACCACTCAGCTCCCAGCTCTTGTCTAAACTCATGACCTTATACAGATAACTAGTGACAGATTTCTGAGGTGATTTACAAATGTCAGATGGATTGGAAAATGGGCCTCAAGTTTGCAGTCAGTTTAAAATTGGAACACATCCTACAACATTCCCATTATTTCCTGACTGACTTTCTCCTGCTTATTACTTCTGGTACATCCTATTATGAAGTTTTCCAGGCATTCTATTATCCCTTCAAATGACCAGGCCTGCCTTGATTTGGACTGGCTCTGCAGTGCTGAGGAAGAGGCTGTGCCTAATCCTTTCTCCCCACATCAGGTGCAACTGCCTTCCTGAAGATGTCAGCTGAGGGGGAAACTCAAACGTCAGGTGTGGCACCGCAAGATAGCTATATCAACCAACACACGTCTCTCCTCTTAAGTGCAGGGGCACTGCTGGGTTTAAGCAGGGTTGGTCAATGGAGATCAGGGGCATGATGGATGAGGCCATAAATTTCCCACTGCAGTCATAAATGTCTGCCCACGTACTGCAGCAAAATAGTAGTCTGGCTACGAGCAGAATTGCTGTGCTTGGACAGAGAATGACACATCAGACGTGAAACCTAAAACAGGATGTAAGCAGGCGCCCAGGGCCCTTCTGACCCCTTGAGCTTTAGAAATGGGGAAGTTCCAGCTTTGCAAACAGTTTTTTGGAAATATTCCTTATTTCCCCAACTGCTCAACTGAATTGAACCTTGCTCTAATGGTATGGATTTATTCGGTTGGGGTGGTGCACATCTCTTTGTTTTGTTACCGGAGAAATCCGAGGGCTCCCTTGGACAAAAAAACAAGGACACCAGCCAGGAAGACCAGAGCAAAACAGCAGCCAGTAGGCTTGGTCTTTATTGAAGACTGTCACGACAGGACTCCCACCTGCCACCAGGTGGAACGAAATGGAAGCCCAGAACAAAAGAAGACCCCAACTTTTATTAGTTACTAATCCCCCAAGCTACACCCTAAAACTACATCACAATACATCATGACTAGATCATTGACACATCACAAAAAGGAGGGTTGAGGCTGCCTCTGAACTGTGGGATGCCTTTTCCTAGAGGTCTATCCAACTCCAAGCCTGAATTAGAGGGTTAGAGGTCAAATGTCAGAGGTCAAGGACACAGCAGTTCCATTTTTTGGACGTGATTGGTCAGTTAGTTCAGTCTTTCTTTCTGCCTCCCTGCCCCCCATGGCTATGCCCATGGCTGCCTCCTCTTCTGCCCTGCATCAACACCCTCCTTGTCCCTCGAACCCTGGTCAGGAGCTGTATTGCCCAGTGGTCTGGGGAGCACACTGATGGCCTGGTGGGATGCCAGCCACTCTGAACCCGAGTGGAGAGGCACAATTTTGCACCCCACCCCCAGGCCTGCATCCTTGGAGGGGGCCAGTCGGAGGACGCGGCCTGCGCGCTTCTTTCCCCTCCCTCAGAACCTGCCCGGGGCGGGAGACACGAAAGCGGCCCTCGAAACCTCTCAGGGCTGCCGCCAGGCCCCGCCCCCGGAAGTCCGCCCTCGCTGCCCCGCCCACCAATGGCACGTGACCGGGATCATAGAGTTGGGGGGGATCCCGGGGTCTTCCTTCCGGTCCCTGTGAGCAAGCGAGACCGAGGCGCAGGATGGCTCCGGCGGGGCTGCTGCGGGCGCTGGCGGCGCCTCTGCGCTGGGGTAGGTGCCCTGCTCCCGTGCGCCTCGGAGGGAGGGGGCTGGGACGGGGGACAGAGCCGGGGGCTCCCGAAGGGCCTCTGTGCCAGCGGGACCTCAGTCAGCCCGCCAGGGGTAGGGCAGGCAGGGCGCCCTCTCCGATCAGGGTCAGAACCCGAGGAGAGCCTGGCTGGATCCAGGCCAGCACCCTGTCCCCGCGGTCGCCAAGTGGTGCCCATTAGGCAAAACCAGGGCGCAGGATCGGAGCACAAGAGCAACGCCGCTTCGGCCTGGGGTTCCCAGAAACGGGCATTGCTGCTTCTGAGCCCGGAGGCAGAGCACAGCCATCACCGAGAGCCCTCCTCCTCTCCTCCTCCTCTGTAAAATTGTCTGAAGTTGGTGGCCATCACTGCTTCCTGGAGGAGCAAGTTCCACAGTTTAACTGCCCTGCGTCAAAAAAGTCTCCCTATTATCTGCCCTGAATCTTCTAATATTTAGCTTCATTGCATGTCAAGAGGTCCTAGGAGAAAGAGAGACGCTTTTTCTCCACCCACTCTCTCCATGCCAGACTTAACTTTATCAACTTCTACCGTGTTGCCTCTTACTCACCTAAGCCAAGAGGCTCCAATTGCCACCACCTTTCTTCCTGGGGGGGGGGTGTCTCTCCACCCCCTTGGTCATCTGGCCCTTTCCTAACCCTTGCCTTTTTCTTTTGCCAGGAGCTGCTGCCCTCCCTCGCAGCTTCCTTCCACCACCCTGGCCGGTGCTGCCACCCCAAGCTGCCCTATGGCCACCCTCAACCAGATGCACCGCAAAGGCCGCCCCAAGCTGCCTCCGCCAAAGCCCGGCCCCACCGGTGGCTGCCCCCAGCTCAAAGGGGTGGTGCTGAAGACCATGATCCGAAAGCCCAAGAAGCCCAACTCGGCCAACCGCAAGTGCGCCCGCGTGCGGCTCAGCAACGGCAAGGAGGCCATCTGCTTCATCCCGGGCGAAGGGCACAACCTGCAGGAGCACAGCATCGTCCTGGTGGAGGGCGGGAGGACGCAGGACCTGCCAGGGGTCAAGCTCAAGGTCGTGCGGGGAAAGTATGACTGTGCCCATGTACAGAAGAAGAAGTGAGCCCAGGCTGGGCCAGGCATGGAGCCAACTGGGCCTGCGCTTTCACAGGCAGCTTCCAGAAGCCTCCAGGGCTGTGGATTGCAGTCAAGGAGGCAGAGCAAAGGATCTCTCTCTGGGAGAAAACTTCCATTCCTGGAGACTTGGCTTGGAGGGTGCCTGGAACTCTTCCAGCTGGAATTTTTCAAGGCAATTGGCTGCCTCTTCCTTCTTATATGTCTAGATGGCAGATTCAGCATGCCAAGAGAACGAGGAGAACTCCAAGGCATGGTGTGGGGGGAGAGGGAGGGTTTTGTGTTCCTAAATAAAGAGTGCCGTGATAACTTCCCTGCCTCAGTCTTTTGGAGAGATGGACTCAAAGCCATTGCGGGGGCTTGGACTAGATGCTGCCTTGGGTTCCTTCCAACTCTGCAATTCTACACTCACGCTTGCCCTGGCCTGTTTCATACTCAGTCTCTTCCTGTAGTTTTCCCAAATATTCTTTGATCTTATGACTGTCGGGGACATTCCCAGATATCTTAATTTGGTTGGAATTATTTTTTGGGGATAACCAGAAGGAAACTAGATCAGCATGGTTCAGCATAGCTTCCCGTTGATCTTTTGCTCCGTTGCAGTGGCAACTCTGGGCAAGGCCAGAGGCTTCCTGAAGTGGCGTGAAGTCTACCTTGGTTTCCTTTCTTTTAGAAGCAGGTCACAGCTACATGTCTCTCTCCACCACCACAGCAGATGCAAGCTGCCTTCATATTCTGTGACTGTGTGTGTCAATAAGGGAAAACACACCAAACCATTAGTCTCTTCCTTCATTTCCTTTCCTTTCTCCCTTCTTTGCTGTCAACAACATACAATTATGAGACAAAACACAGAATAGGGATTGAAAACTGGACAATGTTAGTAAAATCCTTTATTCTCTTAACATTAGTCTTGCTGGGTTCCAGACTGTCCATGCTTATCATTTGATATGGGTGCTCCTAAGAGAAGCTGTTTCTGGTGCTTAGAGATCACCCTTTGTCAGGTTTAAGGATTGTGCACCATCTTCAGAAAAAGGAGACAAAAATTCTGTGGCAGAATCCCAGCCAGCTTTGCTTTAGTCTTAGGTATCCATCATTCACAGAAAGGTGTTGCTAGATGTCCCTGCAGAGTCTGCGGTGGCCCTTTCACTGTACCCACACATAGCTGTCAACATTTCCCTTTTTTAAAGGGAAATAAATTCCCTTATTCCAAATAGGATTCCTTGCAAGAAAAGGGAAAAGTTGACAGCTATGTACCCACAGCTTGCCTTAGGGCAAGGCAAGTCTCCTTGGACAGAATGGCCACAGATACAGCAGCGACTCTTGCCCTTCTTGAAGCAGCCCGGTAATACTGATCTCAAATATTTGCTTGCTTGTTCTCTCCTTTATTTATTAGATTTTATACCTAGATACTGTAATTCCCCTCAAAACCTTGACCTGGCTAGCTATGATTTTGCCTCACTGTGTGTTCCTAGAGGGCTGGCAACTGCTGTTACGGTGGCATTCTACTAGGGAGAGCTCGAAGCACTGGTTGTGGAAAGTTAATGGCAGCATGGATGCAAGCTCCTCTGTGCTTAGCTGCTGAGAAGGCGTTTTGCCTCAATGTTCAGCAGCAGAGAAATTGAACCCACCTCAATGGTTAGAGCTACCCAAGCGCAGCATCCCCAGTGAGAGATTTTCTTGCTGCAACAAAGGTCTTGCCACAGTGCCTTCAAGGACCATTCAGGGGCAAGATGCACGCAGAGGGGGGATGCTGCCTGTATCCTCTTTGCTGGTTGGACAAGCGTTGGATCATTACCCAGTTGCTCTCTGCCCAACCAGACCCAAAGACCAGTCACTAGTTTGGCCAAAGCCAGAATGATAGAGCAAGGTCTCTTTTCCCCAAGTCCGGCTGAGGAGGCAGAAACTGGTCTCTTCTACCTGACTTGCAACTCTCCCTTCCTGGAGCATCTGCTGCTGCTGCCGCTGCAGCAAGCGCCTCCTCCAGTGCCCCATAGCAGGACTTCTCTGAGACAGGTTGAAAAACACTCCTGGAGGTGTAAGGAATAATTGTAATTGCTGAGGGGAAGGCACCCCTCACATGCTCAGAGGCACTCTTGAGTATAAAAAATGGGCAGAATCACAGAAATTAACAGGGGGACAAGTTGGCTGCACTGATGGGCAAGAGGGAGAGGAGCCCTCCTAACTATGGTGCCCCCGTTTCCCTCCAATGTGAGAATCAAGGTGCCTAAGCAGTGGCTCTCCTCAGTTCAAACACTGTGGCTGATGGTCAAGGATGATGGGAATTGTAGTCTCTCATCTGGCGATCCACTGGTTCTCCACCCCTGCTCTAGAAAATGTGCAGTGGGCTTCTGGGCAAGAGAGCGTGGCAAACTCTGGCAAACTGAAGCAGCAGAACAACCCCTCGTCGCTGAGGACAACCGCAGGCCTGGGCTTTGGGGAGGAGGGGGCAGCAAGGGTCTTCCTGGGGGAGAGGGGCTCCCCACAGGGCTCAGGGGCAGAAGAAGACATACAGCGGTCAGGTAAGAGTTCCCAGCCTCAGCTAGGAGGGCAAGTCGTTTTATGGGACGGGACTTAATTTTTGCACATTTCTTCAGGGAGCGGTCTTAAGAATATGTTTCTGGGTGTGAAGAATTCAAATTTCTTAAGTTTGTGACTAGATAACGTTTAGCTTGGCAAATCTACATTTGATTAAAAAGCACATCAACTGCTTTCGGAAAACCAAATAATTTTAATTTTACCTTTTGAAAGTGTCAGGTAATGCTAAAAATGAATAGGATTAATAAATAAAAGTAAAAATATTAATATAAAATATACCTGCAGTCATTTTTAATGATGTCCATGCCATCTTACACACAGTTTAGTTACCAAGCAAAACTAAGTTATATTAATTTAACCAAGAAATCTTTTGAATTTCCAAGTCATTACAACTTCGTTGTAAAAGTCAGCACACCCTACTGTACTTGTCCCTTCACTGCGCCCCCCCCCCCCCAGCCCTTGTGTTTCTTGTGCTCATTCACATCCTGCACCAAGCCCTGTTTTGCAAAGGGAACTGGGGGCCCCCTGCCCCCCCCCCGATCCTGCTAGCCTCATTCATGACTGGGGAAACCTGAGAAATTTCACATTTAAGACACGCCCACCAAAGTCCTTTCAAGAAGAACAAGGATTTATTGAGGTCCAGGGTGAAAACTTGCTATTAAGCCAATTTTTATAAAAGGTTTATAAAAGGTCAAAACAGTGCAACCGGTAAGCAGGGGGATTTCACCAAGGGGGGCCCCTGGACGCTGCCCCCCCGGGAAGTCACGGAAGAGAATTGTAACCTGAGTTAGCCTGAGTTCCCGTCCCCCCTTCTTGGCAGCACCCACAGGGTGGGGTGGGGAAGGGGGTGTCCTCGCACAACACACACAACGCACAGCGCCCCTCAGAGCTCCTCCGCCTGCCGCCTCTTCTCGAAGAATGCGCAGTAGGCCTCGCGGACGCCGTGCGCCTCCCCGGCCCCTTCTTCCGCGTCCGAGAAGGCGTCTGCGTGGCCCTCAGCCGAGGGCAGGTCGGCGTAGTCCATGCCTTCCTCCCAACCCTCCTGCATGGCCTCGTTGCGGCTCTCGCAGATGTTGTGCAGGATGCAGCAGGCGACGATGACCAGCGGGACGTTCTTCTCGGCCACGTCCAGGCGCTTGAGGAGGCAGCGCCAGCGGCCCTTGAGCCGCTCAAAGGCGTAGCTGACGGCCATGCGGCACTTGCCCAGCAAGAGGTTGAAGCGCTGGCGGGGGCCCTCCGGGGCCTCTGGGTAGGGCTTCATCAGCCACGGCCGCAGGGGGCAGGCAGGACCCCCCAGCAGGACGGGGCCCACGGCCACCCCCTCAATCTCCGTGGTGGTCTGGGGGCCAAAGGTGCCCTTCTCCATGCGCTCGAAGAGCGGGGAGCCCCACGGCAGGCCCGAGTCCTGCAGGCCGCCCGACCAGCCGGCGTAGACGTCCATGAAGCGCCCTGCGCTGTCGACCAGGGCCTGCAGCACCATGGAGACCAGCCCCTTGCCGTTGATGTAGGCCGAGGCGCCGTGGGGCGAGCACAGGATGGGGATGTGGGTCTCGTCCACGGCGCCAATGCAGTTGGGGAAGCCCAGCTGCTCAAAGCCCTCCATGACGGCCTGGGCGTCCCCCAGGTGGACCACGTGCTGCAGCAGGACGTCGTGGATGGCCTCGCACACCTCCATGACGATGACCGAGGCGGTCGACACGCCCACGCCAAACTGGTTGGCCACCGAGCGGTAGCTGTCCGAGGTGGCCAGCTTCCAGAGCGTGAGGGCCACGCGCTTGTCGACGGGGATGGCGGCCCGCATGTTGGTGTCCTCGCGCTGCAGCACCGGCCGCAGCCTCTCCACCAGCTCCAGCACCGCCTCCCGCGACATGCGGAAGTAGCGCACCCACTCGCCGTCGTCGGCCGGCCCGGCCACCAGGTTGTCCCACCAGTCCGTCTTCTGCGTCTTGCTCCACACCGTCCGGTCGTTGGGGCGGTAGCTGGCCCCCAGCAGCACCCGTGCCATGGCGGCCCGCTGCCTCCTGCGCCGCAAGCGGAGGTCACGCATCCGCTTGGCAGAGGAGCTGGGGGCCTTCCCAGGGTGCCAGGCTGACGGGGGGGGGGGGGGGGAGGAAGAAAAAGAGAGGCATGAGCTGCTTTCTAAATACAGTGGTACCTCGCGTTACAGACACTTCAGGTTACAGACTCCGCTAACCCAGAAACAGTACCTTGGGCTAAGAACTTTGCTTCAGGATGAGAACAGAAATTGTGCAGCGGTGGGAGGCCCCATTAGCTAAAGTGGTGCTTCAGGTTAAGAAGTGAAATAAAAACATAAACATATAATCCCCTTTGACTCCCCCCTCCCAATTGTGGATCTTAATATAATGATTTTCCCCTCTACTCTAATTTTGTTGGTTTATCGTATGATAGAGGTTTTCCAGTTGTTTACTGGTCCTGTTTATATGATTTTGCAGTTTTTGTATATTGTGCTTCTGTGTTTAGTTTTACTACTTTGCTCTGGGGTGGAAAACGCTCAATGAAGGGCAGGCTGTAAATACTGTGAAGGAATAAATATGCCAATAAGCAAATACTCACGCTGGGCGCTTCCTGGGGCTGCCACGCCAGCGGGGTTCTCCGCAGTAGTCATGCTGGCGATCTCTGACCAGAGGCTGCTGGTGGCTGAAAGCCCATTGATGGGGCTCAGCACCAGGTCCTGGCTCTGGCTGCGAGCGGCTGCCCGGGAGGACTCCACAGCGAGGGAGGCGTCTGGGTCCTGCGGCCGCAGGGAGAAGTCCGCCAGCCGCAGGGTGGGCGAGTCCTCGTCTGGCCCCTCCAGCGGGCAGCCGGGCAGCCCCACAGCGTTGGCCGGGGGATCCTTTTCGGGGGTCGGCAGCTGGTAGCCAGGGAGGCCGGCCCCCTGGCGATACTGGCTTGTGAAGCGGCTCTGGAGGTGGAAGTCGGGGAGCGCCAGGGCATGGAGGTACGGATCCTGCTCCTGCAGCGTCAGGTCCCGCAAGTTGGGGTGCTGGGCAGGCAGGGCAAGCAGGAAGGGGGCTTCTCCCCCCTGGGGCTCCTCCCTGCGCCCCCTGCCCTTGCGCCCCCTCTGCTTGGTCCTGTTGACGCACACCTTGGGCACCACCAGCCCCCGGCTCATCAGCAGGAAGCGGTCCAGGAGGGCAAAGAAGGGCATGGTCTGGCGCGCCCGGTTGGAGTGCAGGTTCCCGTCCTGGATCTCCTTGAACCCCCTGCGCAGGTCCTTGGCCCGCTGGCGGCACTGCTCCAGGTTGCGGTGGAAGCCCATCTTCCGCATCTTGTCCGACAGCCGCTTGTACTGCACCTCGTTGCGATAGTTGTCAAAGAGCGCCGTCTGGACGCGGTCGTCCCCCCACAGCTCCACAAAGGCCTTGGTCTCCGAGGTGGTCCAATGGGCAGCCCGCTGGCGGACCTGCTCCATCGCGCGCTGGCGGCTGAGGGATGGAAAGGAGAGGGGGCAGTGAGGCAGAATGAAGGGGCTGGAAGGGACCCCGGGGTCATCCAGGGCAACCCCCGGCAATGCGGGAATCTCAGCTCAAGCAGCCCTGACAGGTGGACAGCCAACCTCTGTTGAAAGACCTCCAAGGAAGGAGGGTCCACCCTCTCATAAGGGAGACCCTTCCACTGTGGCACAGATCTTACCGTCCGAGAGCTTATTCCTGATATTTAGTCAGAATATCCTTTCTTGTAACTTGAATCCATTGGTTTGGATCCTGCCCTCCAGAGCAGGAGAAAACAAGCTTGCGTCTTCTTCCCTGTGACAGCCATGGCTCTCCCCAGGGGGCTAGATAACCCTTGGGTCCCTTCCAGCTCTAAGATTCTATATCTCCTCTCGCTCCTCTTTTCCAGGCTAAACCTCCCCAGCTCCTTCAACTGCTCCTCATAAGGTTTGGCTTCTAGACCCCTGATCGTCTTGGTTGCCCTCCTCTACCCACATTCCAGCTTGTCAACATCCTTTTTAAATTGTGGCACCCAGAACTGGACACAGTATTCCAGGTGTGGTCTGACCAAGGCAGAAGAGAGCCGGACTATGACTTCCCTTGATCTGGACATTAGATCTGTGGATGCAGCCTAGAATATCATTAGGGTTTCTTTTTGCTGCTGCCTCACACTGTGGACTCATGTTAAGCTTGTGGTCCACCAAGACCCCTAAGTCCTTTCCACATGTACTGCTAGTAAGCCAGGTGTCCCCCATCCTATATTTGCGCATCTGGTTCTTCATGCCTAAGTGCAGAACCTGACATTTGTCGCTTTTGAAATTCAATCTTGTTAGTTTTGGCCCTTGGATGGAGGAGGGCTGGGAAGAGAATGACTAAAGGGTCATCCTTGACTCCGTGACTATGGAGAATCCCTTCCTGCCAACCCCAGACTCCTCACCTGTAGAAGGTGGCATCCAGCTGCCCAAAGGGGGGGCAGCCCTCCTGCGCGTCTGGCTTCTGGTCTCTGGCCAGGAGGGCGGCGATCTTGCAGCTGCAGCCAAAGCACTTGAAAAGCTTCCCCAGGGCCAGCTGGGCGTGGATCCGGGCCGCCTCCTGCTCCTCATAGACAAAGTTGCTCTTGCAGTCGATGCAGGTGAAGACCCGCTCCAGGGAGTGGCTGCTCTGGTGGGCGGCCAGGCTGCTGTCGCTGCCAAAGAACTTTCCGCACTGCGGGCAGGGCAGCGCTCGCTCGCCAAAGTGGGTGCGCAGGACGTGGGAAATCAGCACGTCCCGCTGGGGGAAAGTGCGGCCGCAGTCCTTGCAGCAGTGGGTGGCCGGCCCCTGGGGGTCCCCCCGCTGCTCCTCACGCTTGATGTGGGGCTTGGCCTCAGCTGGGGAAGGAGGAGAAAGGGCAGGTCAAGACAGGTGAGAGACAGGAGTGCCAGCCATGCCCCCGCCTTGCCCCCACCTGCCCAGGACCCTGCAAGCCAGGAGCTGAATGATCTGTGGCCTTTGGGGAAGGAAAACAGATGCATTTTAATACTTTTGAAACAAGAGTTAGCGTGATTTCTGTTGTGTTTGCATCAGTATGTTTGTAGTTGTGCTTGCATTGTCTGCTTTGCCCCAGGGTGTCGTTTCAGGCCAACAGATGAATAGTGACATGGCACGACGTCTATAAGCCAGGGCTAGGAAAGAGGGTGGACCCCAGGCTGGGAAGCTCAAGGTTCCCCAGCAAAAAAACAGACAGGTGCGGGGGGGGGGGGGCTGGGGGAAGAAATAAAAGGTGACCAAGGCAACCTTCCTCTATAAGTGTTGGCTTTTGCAAGTCACCCAGAGACTGCAACCTCTGTGAAAATCTACTCTGCCCATTTCGGACCACCCCGTTTCAAGTCACAAAGGGGCACAAGCAGCCTTGCTCCGGAGGGAGGCAGAGACACTCTGTGTCCCTGGAGAAACTCACCTGCAACCCAAGTAGCCCCCCCCCCATTTGTAGAGAGCTCCCCCTTGGGCTCCTGTGCCCCTCCCCCACCCCTCAGGTTCCCTTTCTGGCCAGCCTGATTCACCCAGCGCCACCCCCTCCCAGGAGGGCAGGGAGACACCCCCCAGGGTGGAGAGGGGACACACACCCCATACCATCCAGCGGCACGCCTTGTACCGAGTCAGATGCTTGGCCAATCTAGCCAGGATGGCCTGCACTGACCGGCAGCAATGGCTCTCCAGGGTTTCAGCAGGGCCTCTCTCCCAGCCCTTCCTGGAGATGCCAGCGGGACTTGAACTCGGGACCTTCTTCCTGCAAGGCAGGGCCTTCCCACGGGGGGCCACCAAGTCCCAGCGGGGCCCCAGAGCTGCAAGAGGCCTCCTGGCACCACCACTGCATGCTGCCTTGGAAAGCCTTCTGGTGCCACTCACCCAGAGCGTCCCTCTTGGCTTTTTCGGGCTGAGTCTTGCTACAGGGATGCTCCGCGCCTGGTCCTCTCCTGACCTCCAGCTGCCGCTTAGCCCCAGAAGCTGCACCCAGAGGAGAGAGTGGGAGAGCGAAGGAGAATGTCAGGAGCTCAAGGGAACCTTGGAAGGTAGAGTCAAATTGCACCTGCCTGTTTTTAAGGACTAGGGATGGAAAGAGGATTCCTAGAGCTACTATTAGTGTCCCTTAACAACTTGGGACCCGTCTCCCTAGGAGATCGCCTGACCCCACAGGTGCCACTTGGATCAGAGGAACTGGCACAGTTCCAGGTGCCACCAAAGGCCTGTTCCGCATCTGTCAGAACTTGATTGTCTAGTGCGGCGGCAGCAGCTGCCCTTTGGAACTCCCTGCCAATTGACACTGGGCAGCTGCTTGCCTTTTCCCCTTTCAGAACCTGCTAAAAAACATTCCTGTTTAGACAAGCCAACCAGGTGCTCAGAATGCTGGCGTAATTTTTAATTCTGCTTTTAGTCTAGTGTTATTTTCCCTTTTCAAACGTCTTAAATTATTGTTAATTTTTCTTCACGGTCATTTTATGGGCTTATCTTTTTTGTAAACTGCTTTGAAGTTTGCTTGCTTGCTTACAATCAAGCTGTGTCTAAATTGAATGCTGGAGGAGTGAACCCCAAGGTCTGCGAGGGGAGGGAGTGCCTTTGCCACTGCAGGGGGCTGGACGTCACAAGTCCAGGACGTCACTGATGGTCACAGCATGATGGACATGACAGCAACACACTGCCAGGGATTGCTGCCAGCCAGTGTAGGCAACCCTGAGCTCCAAAGGCCAACGTAAAGCAGCTTTCTCTGCTCCCTGCTGGTCTTGGATAAGAGGCCACGCCTCAGGGGTGGTGTAACCCTGGGGGTAAGACCCCCCCAGACTCCATGCCACCGCCTGGCTTGCCTGTCTGTCAATGGGCTTCTCCTGCGGATGCACAAAGCAGACAGGAGCTCCAGAAAAGGATTCGCACTCGCTGCTCTCCATAGCCAGCCCAGAGCAGCCCAACCCACATGCGCACCAGGATCTGTCCCCTTCAGGTCGCCAACTGATGCCAACTGAGAGGCATCGGGTTCAGCAGTGGCCACATTTGCTGCTCACGAAGTTGCAGAGTTTGAAGGGACCCCCAAGGGTCATCCAGCCCAACCCCCTTAAAGGCAGGACTCAGTCAGGACCGTCACCCCTCGAGGGGCCTCACTCACCTGGGCTGGGCACTCGGGGAGCCTCTTCCGGCTCTTCCTCCATGGGGGCCTCAGAAGGAGGGGCCTCCCCTCGCTCCATCCGCCCCAAGACCTCTGGCTCGGGGTCACAGGAAGGAGCTGCATGCGAGGAGAGAAAGTGGAACAGTCACCACCTGCGGGAAAGACTTGGGCGCCACAAGGGGAGCCAAGGGCCTGAAGGGGGCGGATGTGGCATGTCTGGAGGAGCAAGAAAGCAGGGGGAGGGCCCCTAACTGCCTCAGGCCTTCCTGGCCACGGAGAAAGAGTTTGGACGTAGAAGCAGAGTCGGAAGGGATCGCCAAGGGACATCTAGTCGAGGAGCCTGGTGGCTGGATCAGAGCAGGGCCCCATCCAGCCCAGCCCCATGGGTCTCAGAGAGCAGCGCCCAGCCAGCAAAGCGTGAAGGCAGCAGCCCTCCTCGCATCTCCCAGCACCCGGCACTCCCAGGAAGACTGCCGTGGGACATGGAGGCTCCACCTAATGGTCACGGCTGGGGAGGCCATGTGACTCAGACCCCTTTGAAGCCGCCACATCGCGTAGCAGCCCTCAGAGACGCTGCCCAAGTCAGGCCAGGCTTAGCTAGGAGAGGCCTCAGGGGGAGGCTGGAAGGGGAAGGGAGGACACAGAGCCTTCAGCTGGTGATGATGGGGCAAGCCAGCACTTCAAGGGATCCAGTGGATCACTGGTGAAACTTGTCTGATTTGACTTGAGGGGGACCCTCACCCAGCGAGGCCACCAGGTGGTGGTTCTCCTTCATCACGTCCCAGTAGAGGGCCTTCTGCCAGGCCGTCAGCTGGGCCCACTCTTCAGGCGAGAAGTAGACAGCCACGTCCTCAAACGTCACCTGGAAGGAAAGCAGGCCGCATTCTGCTCGGTGTCAAGGGAGCCAGCACCCTTTGCCCACCCCCTGAAAATCAGCCTCTTCCAGAGGAGGGGGGAGAACGTGGCAGCTCAGAGCTTGGGCTGAGCGTCCCCAAACATCCAGAGCGAGGCAGAACGCACTGAGAGAGGGGTCCCCCCCCCAGGGGAGGAAGCGCAGCAGCAGGACAGCCAAGGCAGCTCTCCTGCAAAGACCCCACACCAACAGGAGAGGGCGCCGTGCACAAAAAGAGAAAGGCACAGAGAAGTCCCACCCACCGTGGGAGAGGCCAGCAGCCCCAATCCTGCTCCCTGCGTCCCCAGCAGTGCCTCCCACTCTGCCCTGCCCTGGACGGAAGAGCAAGAAACGGGGCTGCAGGATCAGGCCAAAGGGAGCCCCTCTAGTCAGCCTCCTGTTCTCAGCAGGAAAAACTCCCCAAAGAACCTAGGAGTCCAGATAGACTGCCTCTGGGCCTGGAGGCTCCATAAGAAGAGAGGAAGAGTTCTGCTGAGTCAGGCCAGCGGCAGGTCTAGTTCAGCATCGTGTTCTCACAGGGGCCGACTGGGGCCCATTATGGGAAACCCACAAGAGCCTCCTTCTCCCCTCCAGTGGCTTCCAGCAACTGGCAAGGAAGTGTTGTTGTTGTTTAGTCCTTCAGTCGTGTCCAACTCTTCATGACCAGAGCATGCCAGGCCCTCCTGTCTTCCACTGCCTCCCTCATGCTGGTAGCTTCAAGAACACTGTCCCACCATCTCGTCCTCTGTCGTCCCCTTCTCCTTGTGCCCTCCATCTTTCCCAGCATCAGGGTCTTTTCCAGGGAGTCTTCTCTCCTCATGAGGTGGCCAAAGTCTTGGAGCCTCAGCTTCAGGATCTGTCCTTCCAGTGAGCACTCAGGGCTGATTTCCTTCAGAATGGATACGTTTGATCTTCTTGCAGTCCATGGGACTCTCCAGAGTCTCCTCCAGCACCAGAATTCAGAAGCATCCATTCTTTGGCGATCAGCCTTCTTGATGGTCCAGCTCTCACTTCCATACAAAGGATATCTCTTGCTTATTCCCCCTCCCTCCTGCCCTGGACCCCACTGCCCACTCCCTCTGCTCACCTGAGCGGCCCGCGGGGGGCTCTGGGCCGCCTGCTCCTGCTCCAGGAGCTCCAGGACTCGTTGGTGCCAGCACTCCCAGGTGCAGAGGCCCCGCCAGGCGCCAGGTGGCTCTGGAGGGCGGGGGGACATCCAGGGGGGACCTTTGCAGCCTAGAGAGCAAGCAGAGATAAGGGTTGAGCAAAACAGTTGTTGAGCTTTTTGTGTGCAAAACCAACACTGCCAACTTTGGATTTTCCCGGACATTTCGCTGATTTTTGCCCAGACAAAGCTTGTGACTTCAGTATTCTGGCTCTGTCCAGGAAATTCCGGATGTATAGGAACCCCAAGTGGAGAGAGAGGACTGCTCTGATGAGTCATTTCTTCCGTAAGATTTTCACAGTTAGAAAGGAAGAAGCTTGACCAAAAAAAGAGATGAAACAATACTTTACCAGTAAGAGGATCTCATAACTTTGGAAAAGCTAAAACAACAGAGGCAAAGAAGATTAAAACTCCCATTGGCTTCCTGAACATCTGGGCAGGCTTATCTAAAACAGGGATGTTTTTCAACAGGCACCGAAAGGAGTGCAGCGAAAGCGCTTGCTGGAAGTCAACAGGCAGGGAGTTCCAAAGTGTAAAAGATCGAGTTCTGACAACGGCGGAGCAGGCAGGATGTGGTTCTGCAGTGGAGCCAGTGCTGCCCAATGAGGGGGCCGAGTCACATCTGGGGGCTCAGGCAGGGAAGCAGGCGCGCACTTTGGTGCAGGATTGCTCCAAGACGCTTCCATTTCATTCATTTATTTATTTCATAAAAATTATACACCACTTTATTGTAAAAAAAATCCAAACCCTCAGGATGTATATTTTATACTTTATTTTGGAACCGTTTTGAAGGTTTTTGTTACAAATAAAAAGTGCTTATACAGCCGTACCTTGGTTTTCTAACAGCTCAGTTCTTGAACGTTTTGGCTCCCAAACGCCGCAAACCTGGAAGTGTCTGTTCCGGTTTGGGAACTATTTTTGGAAGCTGGACGACCGATGGGGCTTCTGCAGCCAATCCGAAGCCGCGCTTTGGTTTCCAAACGTTTTGGAAGTTGAACGGACTTCCAGAATGGATTCCGTTTGATTTCCAAGGTATGACTTTATTGTTTTATATTTATTGAGACCGTGACAGGGACTCAAGGTGGTTTACAAATACAGAGAAATGAAATGAATAACATCAATAACGAGCAATTAATTGTTCCTGTTGTGAAATTCATTGTTGTAATTTTCCTTGGTGTAAAGCCCTGTTCTGAATAATGCGTTTAATAGGGCCGGGGTGGGTGGGTACTGGGATGAGGAATGGCCTTCCCCTTTGCCCCTTACATGCAGCCCAGGCTCCAAGGGCGCCCCGAAGTGGTACCTGGGCTGCTGCTGGCGGAGGAGGCGGCTCCTTTGCCCGGTTCGTCCTGCGCAGGGGGGTCAGCGATGGCTGCCTCTCTCTCGCCAGGGGGCTCCCCGACGTACATGTCTCCCTCCATCACCCAGTGGGCCTCCCCTTGTTCCTGCTCGTCCTCCTCTTCCTCCTCAAGGTCACAGGCGGCTGCCTCTTTGGTGGATGCAGAGTCTGCCAGGAGGAAGAAGCCGGGTCAGCAGTGCTCAAAATTCCCCAGCCACCTCCACCTTTCTTAATCAGGTGAGCAGAAGAGTTTCTTTACTGCATTTATCTCCCAAGGAGTACATGGGTTCATGCCCCTCCTGAGTTAACCCCTACAACAATCCTGTGAGGTAAGCTAAGAGGATGCGACTGACTCCAAGGTCACCTGGTTAGACTTGGGATGGAGTGGGGATTCGAACCCTGATCTCCCAGGTCCTCATACGACCCTCTCACCACTGCCCCACACTGCCTTCCTGGAGTCCTTCTGCCGTGGGCAGCACTATAAATGAAGTCGCCAAATAAATACGGGGAAAGCAAAATGTCACTTAGAGAAGGATCTGAAATATTCTCCTTGAAGCTTGAGTTTTTGGTTTTATTTTGTTCTGGATGGTTTTATTTGATGTTTCAATGTGTTGTAAAGCACTTTGAGATTTTTTTCTTTAAAATATAAAATGCTATAGAAATTGAGGGTGGGATTCACAGATGAAAAAATGATGCCTAGACACTCCATTGTGGTCCCAACTGAGGTTTAAAGTACCATTTGGCGATTAGCTTACATATCTGAGTTTCTAACCCTGGGGGTCAACGTCTGCGGCCGGAACCAAATAGTGGCCAGCTAGCAGCCTTCTGGGTCTCTGCAACCCCCACCCACCCACTCGATCCGGATCCTGGCTCTCCCTCCACCACATGGTGTCTCCTTTTCCTGCAGGTGTGGCAGCTGAGAGATCCGCCAGGCGACACTTCTCTGTAAGCAGCGTGGCACAGTGGTTAGCAGGCCAGGCTGGGAGAGACCAGGCTGGGGGTGACCTTGAGTCCAGTCCCTGCCTCTCAGCCAAACCCCTCGCAGGGTCATTGTGAGGAGACAATGGGGAGGAGGAGACCTCTATACACCACCTTGACCTCCCTGAGGAAGAGTGGGGGGCAAATGGAATAAACCACCAAACAAATGGGGGGCTCCAACCAGCAGTATGTTTCCAAAGAGAGAGGTGCTGGGGCAGAAGCTTATCCGCAAGCCACACGCTTTGCCTTGACTTAGAAGCCTTGGGGCTTCTAAAATATAACATCCAAAAGATTTTATTTCAGAAAGTGATCAATAAATAAGAGTCCAACCTTCTAACTGCTGCTAAGATTACAACAGTTATAAATTCGGGGAGCACATCTCCTGCTATATCCAAACACATTGAAAGAACAAGGTCCTGGGCAATTATGATTTAGCTAGCTTATTACAAAAGAAAGTGTGCAAACCAGCCTAACAGGTTCATGGGGGGGGGGATGGTATGGGGGGAGGAACAGTTTGGGAAAACAAGCTCAAGGATCACGTCCAAACTAAGGCGGCTTTCCGTCTGCTGTCACCGCATCTCTTGGTGCTCTTTGTCTTTGGTTTATTAAGAAATGATTTATACATAAAAAGAAAGAAAATAAATGAGAAGTCCCATGTGGTGTGGGGGGGGGGGACTCTTCCCAGTTACTCCGCAGAGAAGGGAGGTTCCTGCCTGCCCCCCAACCAGGCACTTTGCACAGCATAACCTGCCCCCAAGAGGTTCTTCCCATGGAAAATGAGGGCATTTTGAAGCTGACATCCCTAGCTGCTCCCTAGTCCCCATTTGGGGTGCAAGGACTCAACTCAACACTTGAGTGTGTGCAGGCCGACTCCACAGGGTTTTTTCCTAAGACACAAGCTTGCAGAGGCCATTATTCTGCCGCTGTCACCTCTGTCTCTGCACAGGAAGGTCTCTGTGGTGCTGCAAATCTGGAAAGGCCAGCGGAGTCTGGAGTCTGGCACGGCACTCTGGGAAGCACTGGGGCCACAGTTCCTGCATTGCAGGGGGCTGGACTGGATGACCCTCAGGGTCCCTTGCAGCCCTACAAGCCTATGACTCTGGGCCCCTGAGGAAATGAACACCTGCAGCTGAGCTGACATTGGCACCCAAGAGTCCCCCCCCCCCGCTCAGAGTGGTCCAGGCAGGGCAACCGGAGATGCCCAGGTGCCCCTCAAATAGCACCCCCACCCCCTCACAGCTCTCCCAGACTGACAGCCCAGGCCTAGAGCGTTTGTCCTGGTGCCAGAGATGGACAAAGGGGCATCTGAGCCGCCTGCAACCCCCCCCCCCGCGCGCTTCGTTATAAAAGCCATGTGACTGTCACCAGATTGCACCGCAAGGAAGCCAACAGCCTCCCCTTCGAGGGCTGCAGTAAGCGCAGTGCTGCAAGGTGTGTGTGTGTGTGTGTGTGTGTGTCTTCTGTCCTACTGGGGTGTCGGGCTCTCCTGACTCACTCCTGACTCAGGGCTGAGTCTCATTCCCCTCTCTGCTCCACAGCCTGAGTTTGAACCTGAGGTGCGACTCCTCCTCCGCTGATGCCTCCAGAGATGAGGAGAGGCTCCTTCCCGCACCTCCTGCAAAGTCAGCCTCATGAGGCGGGGGGAGCCCAAGAACCCCCAAAGAGCCCCCAAAGGGGGACCATCAAGTTGCGCGGCCAAATATCCCTCCCTGCCTCTGGCCCTGGAGTTCCATGAGAACGTAAGGGAAGCCTGCTGGATGAGGCCAGGGGCCCGTCTGCTCCAGCCTCCTCTTCCCTCCGGGGCCAACCAGATGGGAAACCCACAAGAAGGACCTGAGCAGCACAAGACCCACTCTCCCCTCCTGGGATTCAGAAGCCATGGCTGCCCCTGGCTGGGAGGCAGAGCAGAGCCATCCTGGAGAAGAGTTGCCCAGAGCCCTCTTCTCCTCCAGGGATCGGCTTAACCTGCTTTTAAGCCACCAGGTCAGAGGTCCTCAGCGGCTCCTGCAGGAGGGAGTTCCACAGTTTAGCTGGGCGCCATGCCAAGGAGGATTGTGCAGCTGCTGCGTAAAACTGGGGTGGATAAGTGACTGCGGCGCAGAGGGAGGCGTCTCTGCCTGGCTCCTGGCAGTGCCAGGGCTTGGACTTGGCCCTCTGCCTCCCCCACAACCACTATCCAGACCCACAGACTGTCCCAGCACATCTGCCCCCTAAGTGCCGACTTCAGCAGCTCTCACCTGGGCAGCAAAAGCCCCTGGGAGGAGGAGGAGGAGGAGGAAGAGGAGGCAGCCCCCCCCCAACAAACTTCTGCTTGTTCTGGGCTGCTTTCTCCCAAAGGTGTCTGGCCTGGCAAGCTCTGCTCCTCAAACGCGCCTGGAGGAAGGCCCGGTGCCCGGAGGGCGCAGCAGGTAAAACCCCTTCCGACTTGGCTCCCAAAGGTGTTCCCTTGGCCTCTGGGAGCCTGACTCCCATCCAGGCGGGTCCCACGTTGGCGGTGCTTGCGTTCCCTTTCCGAAAGAGAAGGCCGGGAGCAGCTGTCCCCATTGATTCATTGCACTTATATCCTACCTGTGTCTCCAAGGAGCTCAAGGCCGCGTGCAGAGTTCTCCTTCCTCCCACTAGATCCCCACAGCAACCCTGGAAAGTAGGCTGGGCTGAGAGGCAATGACTGGCTTCTAAAGGAATCCCCAGGGAGCTTCACGGCCAAGCGGGGATTCGAACCCAGGTCTCTCCCAGGTCCTGGCCTGGCATTCTAATCACTGGGCCATGCTGGCGCCTGATCAAGAATGGCCGGCCAACGGGAAGCCAAAGGGAGGCAGATTTATGCTGCAGGGGAGGGTGAAAGATTACAGAAGGCAGGCAGAAGGCTCTCTCGCCCCACTCTTAAAATCCTAGAGCCCAATGGGGCATTCCAGCAAAACTGAACATTGGAAGAGTCAGGACAGATCAAAGAGGGCAATTCTTCACACAGCACACAGATAAACTGTGGAACTCGCTGCCACCAGAAGTACTGATGGCTACCAAACTAGACAGGATTGAAAGAGGACTGGACAAATTCATGGCGACAAGGCTAGGCATGAGGGCAGAGGCAGCAGGATGCCCACAAAGGCCAGTTGCTGAGAATCGTTGGGAGTTGGGCAGGGGGAAGAATCATAGAATCTTAGACTAGGAAGGGACCCTCGGGGTCATCTAGTCCAACCCCCTGAAATGCAGGAATCTCAGCTCAAGCATCCGGGGAAGATGGCCAGCCAACCTTGCTGAAGCACCTCAAGGAAGGAGAGTCCACCGCCTCTCGTGGGAGTCAGTTCTACTGCCAAACAGCTCTGACTGTCAGAAATTTTTTCTGAAGGTTTAGTTGGAATCTCCTTTCTTGTAACTTGAAGCCAATGGTTTGAGTCCTGCCCTCCAGAGCAGGAGAAAACAAGCAGGCTCCCTCTTCCCTGTTACAGCCCTTGAGATATTTAAATATGGTTCTCATATCTCCTCTCAGTCTCCTCTTTTCCAGGCTTAACATACCCAACTCCTTCAACTGTTCCTCATAAGGCTTAGTTTCCAGACCCTTGACCATCTCAGTCACCCTCCTCTGCCCACATTCCAGCTGGTCCTTCTTAAACTGTGGCGCCCAGAACTGGACACGGGACTCCAGGTGTTTGTCTGACCAAGGCAGAAGAGAGCGGGACTATTACTTCCCTTGCTCTGGAGACTAGACTTCTGTTGAGGCAGCCTAGAATAGCATTCGCCTTTTTTGCTGCTGCATCACACCGTGGACTCATGTGAAGCTTGTGGTCCACCAAGACCCCTAGATCCTTTTCACATGTACTGCTAGTAAGCCAGGTGTCCCCCATCCTATATTTGTGCATCTGGTTCTTCATGCCTAAGTGCAGAACCTTGCATTTATCCCTATTGAAATTCATTTCTCCAATCTGTTAAGGTCATTTTGAATTCTGATTCTGTCTTCTGCAGCATTACCCACCTCTACCAGTTTGGTGTCTTCTGCAAATTTGTTGAGCATCCCCTCAATTCCTTCATCCAAGTCGTTTATAAAAATGTTAAACAACCACTTGCCCAGGACAGAATCTGCGGCAACCCACTTGTCACTTTTCCCCAGGATGACGAGGAACCATTCATGAGTCCTCTTTGGGTTCAATCAGTCAACCTGCTACAAATCCACCTAACAGTCACCTCATTCAACCCACATTTTACCAGCTTCTTCGCAAGAATATCCTGGGGGACTTTGTCAAAAGCCTTACTGAAATCAAGATACACTCTGTCCACAGCATTCCCCTGATCCACCAAGTCTGTAATTCCATCAAAAGAAAAAAAAGAAATCAGATTGGTCTGGGATGACTTATTTCTGAGAAACCGATGCTGGGTCTTAGTAATCACAGCATCCTTTTCTAAATGCTCATAGGCCAAATGTTGAATTATCTATTCTAGGACCTTCCCTGGTATTGATGTCAAGCTCACCGGTCGGTAGTTACCTGGGTCTTCCTTTCCCCCGTTTTTGAAGATGGGGACGACGTTTTCCTGCCTCCAGTCTGTAGGGACCTCACACGGCTGCTGCTGCTGCTGCTGCGACCTTCCTGCCCTTCTGTGGGCTTCTTCCCACTGAGACATGTGGCTGGCGCCTGTGAGAAGGGGAGGCTGGACATTTAACTTACGCTGTGAACTGCCCTGTAATCTTAAGGGGAAGCGTAGCATATAAATTTTATAAATGTGAATGATAATGTGTTGCTGTGGGCATCTGTCTGTCTCGAGACAGAATGGAGTCCTATAAGAAGTCAAGCAAGCAGCACTGAAGTGACCTCCCTGGGGCATTGTGCATGGAAGTCCTGGGCTGCCCAAACCCCGGAGTCGGCCTGGCTGATGGGGTCCAAAAGAAAGCAGAGCAAGATGTGGGGCACCAGCTGGGCTGCAGGAGTTGCTGGAAGGAGGCATGCCAGGTGCCACCCAACTGTCTTAGGGACTCCACTCCGGAGGCTGACTGTACATGGGGCAAATGTTGCTGCTGTAGACCAGGCCTTTGCTACACCAGCACCTTCCATACCTTTTGGGCTTCGCAGAATCATAGACTTGGAAGGGACCCCAAGGGCCATCTAGGCCAACCCCTTGCAGTGCAGGAATCCCTTGTGGGCTGCGCACTTTTCTCTGCTTTGGCTGGAGGTGAAGCTCCTTCTGGAGTCAAAGCAGCGGCACTCCTTCCCTGGGACACGGGAAGCCTCTGGATGAGTCACCCGGGCGCCTTCAGGCAAGTGCCTCAAGCGAGGAGGGCCTCAGAGGCTCCATCCCCAGTGACTCATGCGCTCCTTCGGCAGCGCCAGCGGAAGCCACTCAGAAGGTGTGAACACACCCGCAGTCGGCCCTCTTTCTCGGGGCGCAGCTTCTGCACCTCTCTCTTTATGCAGCCCACCACACGGCATTTCTCAGTGCAGGTAAATCCTGCAAGAAAGTCATGGGGTGTTTTCAGTCCTCCTCCTGCAAGGGATTCCAGGGCATCTGGAAGGAAGCTCTAGAAAGGGGGGGGGGGGTTTCACAGCACTTCCAAATCCTGATGGGATGCATCACTTTGCGTGCATGCCCAGGTGCCTGATGAGCATGTTCATGCACACACAGCGAGGGCCGCGCATCAGCCTGAAGCAGGGAAGGGCCTCTTCCCCAGCCTGCAAATTCCCCAGGATGACTTCCATGCTGGGTGTTTAATGTCACAAAGCTCAGCTGCAGCACCGAAAGAGACTGCCTGGAGGAAGCGCCCCAAAGGTGGAAACCAACCTGCCCCGGTTTGTTCTTGACAGAGAGGCCTTTCCTCCAAGGATGAAGGGGGCTGCCTGGGTCCCAAAGAGCAAGGAGAAGCCATCGCTCAGGGGTTGGGGGATTCTCTTTGCAGAGTTCAGCTGGGGAGAGGAGGGTCAGCCCAGAGGCTGCTCCTGCTGCGGGCGGAAGAGGCTGTGTTTGGGGGGGTGGTGGCAGCTGCTTCTGGCAGTTCTTCTGCTCTGCTCCTCTTGCATGGGGGGGCCCTGGGCTACTTTTCCATAGAACTGTAGAGTTGGAAGGAACCCTGAGGGTCATCTAGTCCAACCCCCTGCGAATCTCAGCTCAAGAATCCCTCACGGACGGCGACCCAACCTGTTGGGCGAACCTCCGAGGAAGGAGGGAGTCCGTCCCAGTGCCAAACAGCTCTGACCGGCTGACAGGGAAGCACTCCACAAAGGGAAATACCAGACTTTGGCTGTGGGGCCACACAAGGATTCTGCATCCCACTGGACGGGACGGGGGGCTGTACAGAGATGCCCAGGGCAGGTGAAGCCCCACCCCGGCCCCTTCCCTTCCCACCCTCTTTCCCACACACGTCCCCTCTCCCTTCACCATCCACCGTGCCCACCCCCCGCCGGCCGACCCACTCACCCCTTTCCTTTCTGAGGGGCTAGCTGCCCCTTCCACCCCTAGCAGCCCTCAGAGCTCTGCTTCCATCTGCCTCTCCCTCTCCCTTATAGCTTTCCCACCTGGGGAGCAAGGTCACACCTGCCCTTATTCACCCCACATCCTTGAGCAACCACCAGGATGTGTGAACCTGCCAGCATCAGTCACCAGGCAGTGAGTCACCAGAAATCTCTGCCTCCAGCCACGCCAGGCAAACGTCCCCAAAGTGCCAAGCCGTTTATCGCAGGCAAAGAAGAGCCATCATGGCTAGTGGCCATTGAGAGCCCTGTCCTCTGTGGATTGGTCCAGTGCTCTTCTAAAGCCATCCAGGTTGGTGGCCATCCCTGCCTCCTGAGGCGGAGAGTCCCACAGATTCACTGGACAGCGTAAAGGACTTTCTTCATCTGTCCTGGATCTCTCAACGTTCAGCTTCCTTGGATGTCCACGATTACTTATGTGATGAGAGACAGAAAAACTTTCCTCTCTCCACTTTCCCCAGGCCACACATCATTTTATAAACCGCTATCATGTCGCCTCTCTGTTTCCTATTCTCTAGACTGAAAAGTCCCAAATGCTGCGACCTTCCTTCGTAGGGAAGGTGGACCAAACACCTGGCATGGCGTGTGATGCTTTCCAGGCTGTCCTCAGCAGACATTCAAGCCCAGCCTCCTGGCCTGAAAACAGGACGCAAAAGCCCCGAGCTGCCCCTGGGCTCCTTCCATGTGGGAGCAGGAGCGCAGTTGGGCCTCCTGCCCCTTGAGACTTCCTTGCTTTGGGCCATGGTGTCTCCCAAGGGGCCACGAATGAGCAGTCAGGCCAAGCTCCCCCCTCGCTGGGTCTGGGCACCCAGGAGGGGGCAAAGAACCCCTGCCTTCCAGGGTGAGGGCAGTTCCTGCAAGGGAGGAAGCCAAGGAAGAGAAGGCCGTCTCCACGGCAACCGGCCTGGGTCCCGGCCTGGACCACGGCGGGTGCCCAGCGCTAGGCTGGCTTCAGTCCCTTGTCAGGCCTGGAAGCCGAATCTGTGCAGAGTCCGGCCTCCCTTGGGCACCTGGCAGAAGATCTGGGCCACGTCCGCAAAGCAGATTCAATCCACATTCACCCTGCGGAACCAAAACATGGATTTGACTCCTTCCAGGCCCAAAGCGAAAGCCAAAAGGAGAGGCCAAGGTCTTTCATTTCTCTTTAGCAACCGGGTTTAGAGGGGCTAAAAGAAGACGACGACGACCCTCCAATGCAGGACAGAGGGAGGAAGAAGGGGAGAAGGGGAGAAGGGGAGAAGGGGAGAAGGGGAACCCTCCTTTCTTGCTCGACCTCCAGAGCACCAAAAGTCTCTCCAAGGCAGCCGCTCCCTTGTGACTCTGAATGCATATTTTCCCACCGAGGTATCCTAAGACACCTGGACTGCACAAAACAGCTCACGTTTCAAACCTAAAGATAGTCAGAGTTTAAAAGCTAAGTAGCAGAGCTGGAAGGTTGAGTCAGTCAGTACTCAAATAAAGGGGTGCGCAAAAGCCACCAAATAAAGGAACCCACAAATCTAAGTATTGAGTGACGCACGTCGGCAACTGGTCGCGCCCCCACCAACAAGATACAGTGCCTCATAAAAATGACCCAAGTGTACCAAACAAGCACATTGCAAGCGTACCTTTGTGTAAGGTGAAGGGGGGGGTGTGCCTCCTGCACACCTCCGCCCAAACTCAGGCCAACAAGGTGTATACCCTGACACACCGTGAGCGTGTGAAGGGAGCCACTAAACTCGGGTTGAGCATTTTGTGGACGGGGCTGATGGGCCCCAAATGGTAGCCAGCCCTGGTCTGCACTCAGCCCAAGTTCAGACCCCACCATCCAGCTTTTAGAACATCTTAAATTATTGTTATTTTTTCCTACTGATGATTTTATTTTTTTCTCTTTCTTGTAAACTGCTTTGAATTTGTTTTGTTTTTTAACTATCAAGTGGTGTATATATTTTATAAATTTTATAAATAAGTCGCCCACATTGAAGGACTTTGTCCAACTCAAGAAGGGGGGGGATGGCATTGCAACTCCCCACCCTTGGAAATATGTAGAAATAGTAAAATCCCCCTTAAAACTAAGGGAAGTGTATATCAGAAGAGCCAGGATGGGTCTGTGAAAACAGGTCACAGTGGCTTATTTGGTTCCTCCTTTTTTGGTTACATTCACACATAACGCCCTCCCCCCATTTCACTATAAATTAAATACAATATTCTTTTGATTTTAAATATAGTGGGGGGGGGGTTGGGATGTGTGTGGGGATCTTAAGAGGGACTGTCAAAGAGGCCATTCCTCCTCCTTCCCATTCGTGTCCCCCCCCCCCTCGCCACCCTGCAACCCCCACACCTCAACTTCCCCACTAAGGAGAGATATATTCAAATGGGCATCCAATTTACCCTCCTTTCTGATCCACTCCCTGCGCGTCCTGGACGCAGACTGCCTGTCAGCAAAACTTTACTGACACTTTGCTAGTCTGTGTGTCTGTGCAGAGCGGAGGCCTCGGACCCTGAGCTCTTCACGCAGCAGACACCCCCAGCTCTCTTCCCCCCCCAAAAAGCTATCTTTGATAAAGAGAGAAAAGAGGGGTGTCTTCACCCAGTGGGGCCACTGGCTTGCGATTTTCCAGCATCACCTCCCTCTGCATTTGGACCCCTTCTGCCATCCTTTTGCGCCTCCCGCGGGAAAACAGGTCTGAGTGTCCTTGAGGCACCTGCAAGGTAGAATCACAGAACTGCAGAGTCAGCAGGGTCCCGGGGTCATCCAGTCCAGGAACCTCAAGCAGGCACAGCGATCAGCACCCCACATTTGGAAGAACTGGGCTGCAAAAGACATCCTGCTCTAATCAACTGAACTGGACCGGTTACCGGGGCCACATAATCCCTGCTCTGCATTTGTAAGAATTCAATCTCGTAGTGTGGCAGCGCCCACACTGTGGAACTCCCTGCCTCTTGACGCCAGGCAGGCGCCTGCTTAAAACATCATTGTTTAGACAAGCCTCCCTAGATGCTTAGGAAGGTGATGCGAGCTTGAATCTGTTTCCAATTATTGCTGTTTTAACTTTTTGAAAGTTTTCCATTGTTGTTGTTATTTTTCCTTATGGATAATTTTGCTTTATCTTTTTGTAAAACACTTTGAAAGGGTTTTCCCCCCTTTTAACAATGAAGCGCTGTATAAATTTTATGAAATAAATAAAACGAATAAAGAAACTGAGCAGCGGCCTCCCTAAGGCACCCACTCCTTCATGTGAGGTTTATCCTCTCCCCCACCCCTTTCTCCCTCTCTCAACTTACTCCTGCTCCAAAAGGTCAAGCAGCATCCTGATAGGAGACAAAGGGAAAATGCACACAAAAAGCCTGCCCTTCTCTTCCAGACTGATTTCAAAATAGCCAACAACCTCTTCTTATAAATGCAACAATACAGATTGAACAGGCACAAACATTCCAGCTCCCAGGAGTCATGATCTCGGGGGTGCAACCAAAATGGCACTTGAACTCGCAGCTTTCAAGGTCACCGCTGCTGGCAAAGGCCGGGGGGGGGCGGCCTGACTTGCGAGGGGTGAATGGGCCAGCAAAAGGGCCTCTGACACGGGGGACACCCCAGGTCACAACCCTCTCCTCTACTTTTAAGGGGCTCTTTGCAAACTGAAGTCTTTGGTATGAACCTGAAAATGCAAGCATCCCGAATGAAGGCATCTTCCAGTTGCAAACTCAGATTTGTCCCATGTAAGCTGTCAGATGTGGCCCTGCAGGCCGAGGGGCGCCTGTGCCAGGAGAGAGATTTATTATCTTCAGGTGGGCAAAACGGACCCGCTTGCCACGCAAAGGCCTCGGCTAGGTTGTGCCACTCTCACACACCCCTTTTTATTCCAAATCAATTAAGTCCTGCACCCCATCTCCTGGTCGCGCTCTCCACGTACATGCAAGGGATTCCTCGGGACCTGGGTGCGAACGCTGCCCGCCCCTTGTGCCCTTGACCCGCCTGCCTGGAAGAATGTCAAAACCCACTTGCAGGCTGAGATCCACGACTGGCCTGAGATGGATTTGGAAGTGTTTGCAGGGCAGGAAGAGAAGCCCGGGCAGATTTGGGGGGGGGGGGCTCGGCCACATCTCCCCCCCCCCCGCACTCTGAGGAGGCTGTGCAAGAGATGAGCTCCGCTTCTTCAGCCCGGGATGCAGGAGCAGCAGCAGCAGGCAGGTGCCCAGCCGCCCCGGAGGGTGAAACGGGGGGGGGGTCGCCCGGCAATCGCGGACCCGCCCCCTCCTCCCTCCCCCCGGCGGCGGCTGTCACGGGCTCGCTGCGCCCGGCGCCCTTGGGGTGGGGTGGGGGCATGGCATGGGGGGGGGGCTGCTGCCCTTCTCCTGCGCCCCCCCCCGCCCGGCTCTCTGTAGGCGGCGACGCTGCCGGGATCGGGGCCGCCTTTGTTCCGAGGCCGCCCCCGCCCGCGACACCCCCGGGGGGAGGGAGGGGAGGGGTCGTGGCGGGGGGCAGGGGCAGGGGGTCAAGCCCCAGGGTGGGGGAGGGGTCAGCCTCCGATCGGCCCCGCCTGCCGCCCCCCCGGGGTGGGTGGGGAGGGGGCGCCCCCCTTGCGCCATCCCGGGGGGGGGCGCGGAGGGGCTGCTGGCCGCGCAGGGGGCGGAGGGGACCCACCTGGGGAGGGATCGGCCAGCCCCCTCCCTGGCCCGGGCGGCGGGGCTCCGGCGGCGGCGTCTCCCGTCTCGGCTTCCCGGGGAGGTCGCAGTCACGCTCCTTGGCCGCGCAGGCCCCGCCCCCGCCGCGGTGCACGACGGGACTTGGAGTCCTGCCCCGGGAGACCCCGAGCAAGGAGGGAGCGCGGCGCCCGGAGGCGGCTGACCCGGAGCCCGGCCTGCAGAGGCCGAGGCCGGCCAGGGAGCAGGGATCTTCCGCTGGCTGCTCGCCGCTGGGAGAGGAATTTGGAGGGCTGGAGGTCTTTGTTGTGGTTGAGTCGTTTGGATGGCTCGTATACCCCAGGTAGTTTGGTTGCTGACCTGGAGCCAGACCTCCTGGAGAGTGAAGTCAAATGGGCCTTAGAAAGCATCGCTAATAACAAGGCCAGTGGAAGTGATGGTATTCCACCTTAACTATTTAAAATTTTAAAAGATGGCGCTGTTAAGGTGCTACACTCAATATGCCAGCAAGTTTGGAAAACTCAGCAGTGGCCAGAAGATTGGAGAAGATCAGTCTACATCCCAATCCCAAAGAAGGGCAGTGCCAAAGAATGCTCCAACTACCACACAATTGCACTCATTTCACACGCTAGCAAGGTTATGCTTAAAATTCTACAAGACAGGCTTAAGCAGTATGTGGACCGAGAACTCCCAGAAGTTGCAAGCTGGATTTAGAAGAGGCAGAGGAACCAGAGACCAAATTGCAAGCATGCGCTGGATTATGGACAAAGCTAGAGAGTTCCAGAAAGACATCTACTTCTGCTTCGTTGACTATGCAAAAGCCTTTGACTGTGTCGACCACAGCAAACTATGGCAAGTTCTTAAAGAAATGGGAGTGCCTGATCACCTCATCTGTCTCCTGAGAAATCTCTATGTAGGACAAGAAGCTACAGTTAGAACTGGATATGGAACAACTGATTGGTTCAAAATTGGGAAAGGAGTACGACAAGGATATATATTGTCTCCCTGCTTATTTAACTTATATGCAGAATTCATCATGTGAAAGGCTGGGCTGGATGAATCCCAAGCCAGAATTAAGATTGCTGGAAGAAATATCAACAACCTCAGATATGCAGATGACACAACCTTGATGGCAGAAAGTGAGGAGGAATTAAAGAATCTTTTAATGAGGGTGAAAGAGGAGAGCGCAAAATATGGTCTGAAGCTCAACATCAAAAAAACGAAGATCATGGCCACTGGTCCCATCACCTCCTGGCAAATAGAAGGGGAAGAAACGGAGGCAGTGAGAGATTTTACTTTCTTGGGCTCCATGATCACTGCAGATGGTGACAGCAGCCACGAAATTAAAAGACGCCTGCTTCTTGGGAGAAAAGCAATGACAAACCTAGACAGCATCTTAAAAAGCAGAGACATCACCTTGCAAACAAAGGTCCGTATAGTTAAAGCTATGGTTTTCCCAGTAGTGATGTATGGAAGTGAGAGCTGGACCATCAAGAAGGCTGATTGCCGAAGAATGGATGCTTTTGAATTCTGGTGCTGGAGGAGACTCTTGAGAGTCCCATGGACTGCAAGAAGATCCAACCTCTCCATTCTGAAGGAAATCAGCCCTGAGTGCTCACTGGAAGGACAGATCCTGAAGCTGAGGCTCCAAGACTTTGGCCACCTCATGAGAAGAGAAGACTCCCTGGAAAAGACCCTGATGTTGGGAAAGATGGAGGGCACAAGGAGAAGGGGACGACAGAGGACGAGATAGTTGGACAGTGTTCTCGAAGCTACCAGCATGAGTTTGACCAAACTGCGGGAGGCAGTGGAAGACAGGAGGGCCTGGCGTGCTCTGGTCCAGGGGGTCACGAAGAGGCAGACACGACTAAACAACAACAACAATAATGTTCATAAGTGTACTAACCAAGCACGTACATAGATCAGCACAGGAAGACCAACCTGGAACCATTTTGATTCCCAAGCTGAGCAAATGTTATCCCTGCAAGGTCAAAGTGGGAAACCTCCCCATTGTCTCTTTCCTCACAAATCCTGTCTGAAGAGCACATTTAAGATACGAATAGGGTGTGAGCCTGTGACCTGGCCCAGGAACTAAGTATTTATCATTAGAAAAGTCTGGCCAGGCTTCCCAGGCAATCCAACCAAGTAACCTGCCAGACAGGAGATAAACAATGACAGAAGAAAAACATTCAAATTTCTGTTTTAGACCCGCCTTTTCTGTGATGTATGTATGATGCTTCTAGGGGTGGTCTTGATCTACAGGGTGGCAATTTCAAAAGTCCATATAAGGCCTTGCGCACCATTGTTCTGGGTTCCTCCTCCTTTCCTGTGTGTGAGAGGAGCCCCCTGTTGCAACAGATCAATAAAGATCAAGCTTACTAGCTGCCTTGCTTCTCAATATTCTCTGCTTGGTCTCTGTTATTTTCTCCTACCGATAGGGAACCTAATGCAAGGACTCTATATGGGCTCTTGGATACCCCATAAGAGAAAAGGGCAATTTTTGTTTACAACACCGCCCGGCCCGGCTGGACACGGAGGCCTCTGGAGCCCCTTCCCGCTAGAAGACAGAGGCCAGAAAGGCTTCCGAGCCAGTCTCAGGGAAAGTCTCCCTCCGGAGCAGGACATCTCCCTCCCAAGCGCTTGCTGCCTTCCTGGATGGACACCACCAAGAGGAGCCATTGTTAGGAGTTTCTTCAACCCGCACCAGGAATGGGGGTTTTCCCACAGCTGCCATCCTTCTCTTGTGATCTCGTGTGCTAGTTGACACAAGAACGGGAGAATAGCCTGCCAGATCAGGCCAATGGCCCCTCTTGTCCAATAGCCTCTTCTCCCAGTGGCCAACTGGGTGCCTGTGGGAAACCAGCGAGCTGAACAGGAGCCCCAGACCCTCTCCCCTCCCCTCCAGGAGCCTTCTAATGGACATAAATTTGCCCAAAGCCACCCAAGTTGGTGGCCACCACTGCCTCCTGGAGGAATGAGTTCCATAGTTTAAGTATGTGCTGTGTGAAGAAGGACTTTCTTACATTTCCTGAATTTCCCAAAATTCAGCTCCACTGCATGCCCACAGGTTCTAGTGCAACGAGAGAAGGGGGAACATGGATCCATTCTCCATGCCGTGCAAAATTTTATCAACTTCTACCACGTCTCTTCTCACTCGCTTGTTCTCTAAGCTAAAAAGTCCCAAATGCTGCAACCCAGCAGCTGCAGGAAAGCATGAAGAGCGGCTGACCAGGGGCCTGGATGCCTCCTCGTCCTGAATCAGCGCTTGGAGGCAGGACGAGGCCTCATAAAGCCAAAGTTTCGAGGCAGTTAAAACACTTCAGACACACCATCCAAATGCAAAAATACTGTATTTGAAAAACAAGTTTAAATTACATAAAGCTCTGTTCAGTGCTGGAACTCAGGCAGAGTTGGGGGAGGGTATTTTATAACACTAGGCAGATTCCAGGGCAACAGGCTCCTGGCTTGGCCCTCTGCACCCCTGCAAACCAATTCTGGGACTGCATCAGAATCCCAATAAGCTCCTGAGTGAAATGGGGGCAGATCAGGCAGTAATACTTCCTCGAGGGCAACAAAACAAGCTTTCCCGCTTCAGACTCCATCTTTGGTTTGGCGCCGGATCAACTCTGCATAGATGCCACCCTTCCGTAGTAGATCCATGTGGGTCCCGGACTGGAAGGAGAGAAACAGGGAGATCAGGAAAAAAGAGCAGCACTTTCCAGTCCCCCAAAGGCAACAGAAGTGCCAAGAGCTGCATAGAGCCTGCCAGTCAATACGACACAAGCACCATTCTCCCACAAAGAATAAGAGGAGCTTAGATTGGCCCCTTCTATCATGGCCTCTAGCATGGAAGTCAAGAGATTTTTGTTACACCAAGCATTTAGTGCATTTTAATCTTGCCCGTTCTGCCTGTGTTTCATTATGACTTGTTTTAATCCTCACCTATTTAATTGTAGTAATATTTAAATTGCTGTAAAATGCCTTCAGGCAGAAAAGTGGTCTATAAGTGTTTCTATAAATGAACCGAGATGAACAGCATGAAATTGCTGTTCTATAATTTATTAGCAAATTTTATTCTATTTCTTTAGGGCTCAATCAGTTTCCACTCCCAATAGGTGCTGCTTTGGTACAGCAAACTTGAGAAAGATCTGCAGGTCTGGGTTTAGGAATGCCCAGCTGCATTGGTCTGGGGCCCAAGGATGCGGAAATCCACAAAGTGCCCCCAAATCCAGTCCTCACTAGCAGCCTGCCCGCTTTGTCCCTTTGTTCTTTCCCAAGCTGGGAGAGGCCCCAAGCCAAGGCTGCCTGCCGCCTTCCTCCCCTGCTGTCTCACCTCAGCCACGTGACCCTTTGACAGCACCACAATGAGGTCTGCATCCTTCACCGTGCTGAGACGATGGGCAATGACCAGCACGGTGCGGCCGGCCACTGCCCGGTCCAGGGCTTCTTGCACCACGTGCTCCGACTCCGCATCCAGGGCGCTCGTGGCCTCATCCAAGATCAGCACTTTGGGGTTCTTGATGAGGGCCCGGGCAATGGCCACTCGCTGCTTCTGTCCGCCAGACAAGGTCACCCCACGCTCACCTGGGATGGGAGAGAGAACGCAGAGGGGAGAGATGAAGGGGAAGCCAACCAAGCGTGTCCTCTTGACGTGGCCCCCCTGTTTCCCTCTCCACAGCCCACTCCCCTGGAGTTGGCACGGCACAGGACAGGGATGGGGCATGCAGAGGTGCCCCTTTCCATCCCACAGGAGGTTGCAGCATCATGGGAAAACCTCGTGGCCAAGGCCTGAATCTGGCACCAAGTGACAGCAAATCTGGCAGCCAGAAGTCTACGGAGATGAAAATAATTGCCACAAAATAGCCCCAGAATGTGTTGCCCCGAGGATGCCACTTCCAATACCTCTACCTCGTCTTCTAGAGGTGTTCGTGAACCCAGTTAGAGCAGGAACCAGTCATTTAGCTGAACTTTTTTTTTTTTTAAAGGAATAAAGAACACAAAAATCTGCCTTGTGCCGAGGCTGGAGGGGAACTGCAGCCTGAATTCAGAAAAAAAGATGCAAGAAGGAAGAGGAGGAGTCGGAGTCTGTGGAACAACCAGGAGAGGTTGCCAGGTTTAAGAAGATCCAAATCAGGACTCTTGCCCCACTCCACAAACATTTTCTCAAAACCTTGATGCCCACCCTATGGCGGAAGCTGGCAAGTAGATCCGTCAATCAGGGAGAGTAGAATTTTTTAAAAATGCCATCAGTTTAAGAGCCAGACAGGAACTGCCTGTGGGTTAGACAGGGGCCTGGGATTAGAGAGAGGGACTTTCTGTCTGTCTGGGTGGAAAGGTGTCTCTGGCTATTTGAATAGACTCAGAAAGGTCTGTCTGT